GCCAAAGACAGGTGCAGATATTTAGGCCAAAGTAGGATAAAATGGAGCAGTGCTGGGGTACTTCAAAGGGAGCTTGGGGTGAGAATCATAGTGTGGGACTTAGACTGAAGAAGGATGAATCAAGGAGGCCCAAGGAAAATTCTGATAGGAGGGAAAAGGACTGTCTGATGACAAAAAGACAAAAAGGATGTGAGTACATGAGAGCAAAATTCTATAGTGCAGGAAAGGACTGCAGTACTCTGGAACTTCACCATGCCTCACCAGTAGCAAATGCTAGCAATACCTCAAGGTAAATTGTGAGTCACCTCCTCCTGCTCTATTGCTTGTCTGTATGAAAGTGGCAGCTGGCTGCTGCCAGCTGGTTGGCTAGTTCAGCACTTGAGGCTTTTTAGTACACAGGAAGGCTCTGAGCCTGTTGATATCTCAGTGAAGTGTAAGCATAAATCCACATAAAATTGCATAAAATATTTAAGAACACTGAGATTGTGAAATTAAGTACTACAGAGGCAGGAAATATCAGAAATAAGGTTGTGTTAGCAGACCTACTTTGGCCTCATGAGCTATGCATATGGTTGGTTTTTTTTGCAGGACATTTATTCCCTGTAAAATTAGCATCTTATAAAGGCAAATGAAGGACCTGCTTTGGAGATGAATCAGGACAGCACTGGGATGTGGTTGCCATCAGTAAACTCCATCCTGACTTGTAACAGGAGCTGGAAGGCATACACAAGTTGGAGGTGTGGAAGAGAAGGGAGAGGTATTACAATGGGAGCTGGTACAGTCATCAGAACTGGTTCTGCCAATGCATTCCTAGTGTTTGTAGGTGGACTGTTAACTGTGTTTTTGGTTTGCTGAGTGACCAGACTTAGAACCAGCTTTTCCATTTTCTCTGCACCAGAAGTCAAAGGAAGATGTACATTGAATATGAAAGACTGTGTAATGCTCAGTACTCTGAAAGATCAGTGCTTCAAACCGAACACCTACACTTAGTGCAGCAGGCATTAACAGGGGATTATATACCTCACCTCAGAGGCATTCATCAGAAACTGCATTGATGAGCTCCACAAGAAAGAAGAAGGAAAGGCCTTTGAAGAAATAAGTCATTCTGGATGTAGAGCTGCATTTATTTAGTCCTAACAGCAGGCAAAGGACAAGTCCACACATTAAAAGAGAGAGATTAAATGAAAGACTGAATGACTTCTTGTTCAGTGAGCACTGTTTATCCTGTGCAGGGATTGAGGCAGGGGTCTAGTGGAAGATTGGTATCCAGTTGTGAAATTAAAAGACATAGTCTTAATGCACACAGTCAAGTGGGATTTAAGCATTGTCCAAACAAACTTATCATGATCTTGAGTACTTCATTTTTCTGATATACAATTCTATTTTGTTTGAATCTGAGTTTGATTAATTAATCAATTGTGAAGAAGGAAAATACAAATATATTTATGAGGAGCATTGAGGTATATGTTTTTTTTTTTTTCCCCTCTTGCTGAGGAGGTGAAAATACTAATTTACATTGATCCCAGTTTGCGTGGTTGTCTCAGAAGACAAGAAATAGAAAACACTGTGCACACTGCAGCACAGATCTCTTTTTAGGAGATTTAATATCTTTTAGGGATCCTTAATAGTAGCTATTAAGAGACAGTAGACAGAAGACAGTGATATGGGTCTTCTAGGGTCTGCTGTAAAGTGAGAGGGTGAGGATAAGAGAGTAGCCTGGAGAAGAGACAACTTCCCCTCTTGTCTTTTCAGCACAGACAGCTGCTACTTCATGGGATGAAGTGAACCTTTCTGTCTGGCATCTGCACAGTTCTTCCTTTCTTTCTTCTTTGTACATAACTACTGACGCTCTTTTTAGAGATGTGAGTGTAGCTTTCTTTCCCCAGGGCTCCTGCCTCTGGATTTTTCCAAAGATAGAGCTTTGTGTAGTTTATTTTGGAGTTTAGTCTGTGTGGAATATAGGAAATAGTTAGCAGTGTTTTAGTGTAGCCATGGTGATACAAGAACCATGGCTAGGAAGGGTTTACAAGTAGGGGCAATGTATTTTGTTTGACCAAATGCTGCAGGTAGAAAAATCAAATAACCTTTAAGTATGGAAAAGGCTGCGGATATAAAGGCTTTGGCATCTGAGGAGTGGTATTTTTCTGTCCTCACCTTCATGCACTGTTCTCCGTGTTTTTTATTCCTAAATTCATAAAGAGTTACAATAAATTTCCTAAGCTATAAAAACATTAATGGATGGGATAGAATTACATTTAAGAAAAAGAAAGATGTATAAAATGGGGTTGGTGTGCTGCTCTGACATACCACTTAATTTCTCTTAGAGCAGAACCCAAATGGATCATTTCTATTTCTAATGCATCCCTGAAGATCTCCTATTTGCTCTGAAGAAATTGGTGCATGAGCAACATGCACCCAGGAACAGCAGCTCTTCTATGTTTCCTATGCCTAAGTTTGTTTTGCAAGGGCAGAAGATAAAAAAATGTCCCTCTCAAAGTTCTTTTAGTTCAAATCTTCCCTTTGTAAAGCTTGTGGCTCCACAGGAAATTTTGCTTTTGCAAGTACCAGCTCACGAATCACCTAATGAAATAATTTTCTTTTTCATGCAGAAATGTCATGTCAGCACACACAAAAACAAGGCTTTTACTTCATGTCTCACACTGTATGGTGAGCTAATTTCAGTGAGATATTCAAAATATCAATAATTTTATTTGCTGAAGCTAGAGTGAGTTAAAAATTAATAGTTACTAAGCCACACATCTGTGTTATGTTCCCTTTGATTTTTAGTCTTTCTTTAGGAGTCAGGAGGGGCTGTAGTGAGACATCAGTGAACCATGAGCAGGTGAATGTTTTAAGACAGTGTCTAAAATTGTCAAAAATATATGATCATTAAATTTTTTCCTCTTTGTTGTATTCCTCAATGTATAATACTGACAGGAGGCGAGTTATTTTGTCTATGTCTAAAGCTACACTGATAATTCAGATGCAGACAGTATTGGAGGAAACTCTGAAATTAGAAATCAGTATTGGCTAGACTTTTTTGCTGCTAATTTTCTTGCTTTAATTCTTAAAAAAAATCCATCCTGTAGTTTCTTTCTAATAGATGTCGTAGCATTTGAATTACAGAATAAGAATTTCTTCGGTATCATCATTCTTCTCGCACGCATGTATTTCAATGCAAGGCAGATGAGACAGATTATTTCATATTCATAATGCATATAGCTTTAGGAGAGCTGCACTGCAGTGTGCTGATGGGTTATGGCTGCATGGGTTATGTATTCTCAGGAGATCTACATGTTCAGAATGCATTCTTTTGCCCTTTCCCCCGTCGACTCCTGTTTTGCTGTGATAGAAGCACTAGCAAATGAAAGGCTTGTTATTGATTTCTGTACAGATGTTTATAATTTCCATGTTACTCTGCATCAGAGTGGCAGTAACTGATGTACAAAATTTGACATCTTAATTATTCCTTGATGGAAAGGAGGGCCACTAACCTGAGGTACAGCAGCCTATTAACTCGGGATCTGTGGATTCAAAGCAGCCTTAGGTCACAAGAGAAATGAGTGAGGCTGTCTCACTGTAGTCTTTGTGGATGTTTGCTTGCTTCTCAAAGCTGCCAGATTGTCTTCAGTGTGTCTGGAGCAGAAGGAAGCAGAAATCGTGAAATAGAAAATATTTTCCATCTAGTATTGCTAGCCTTGCAGAAATCACAAGTACTATAAAGCTCAGGAGTAGCACATTTTATGAGCCAGCATCAGCTCATTGCGGTGTGGCTCTCCTAGAGCTATAGGCCCCACCTAAATGCTAAATGCAACAAAATACACAATCCCAAATGCTGTGATTTACCCAATTAAAAAGAGGGATTCAAGAATTCTGATGTTTGTCTAGCAGTTCTATCCAGTGGATATAGGTTAATTTCCCACAGGTTGCAGCTTTATGCAGAACTCCCATGAGCTAGGAATGTTAAATGCAAGACTAAGGACGCACATACACCATAAGTATTAGCAGAGGTTGAACAATGACCCACAAAAATCTAATCCCAAGCCATTGATAGTATTGCTGTCAAGAAGCAATTGCTGTGTGCAGTTTATCAAGCACAAGTAAATATCAGGCTGTTGTCTTTGCTTTGAGCCATGTGTAACTATTATCTACAACCTTTAGTGCAGGAGAGGCTCTTTTCAAGAAGATACCATTTCCCAACTGGTCAATTTTATTTGTGCTCCTCATGGTTAAAGATCCCTTAAAACTATATATTGTGCATTTCTGACTACAGGATTAGATGAATACCACACAAAAGTTACATATGCATCATCATGCTGTTAGAATTGTTGTGCTTGACGATTCCAGTTCTTAGTCTAGTCACAGACAGTCCCACAGTAAGGCATCAGCATTTCAAAAACTAACCTGTTCTGAACAATAGAGTAAACGGCAAGAACAGAAAATTTGATTCCCACTTCAGCAGAAGAAAAGATCTAATATGAAAGAACAGTTGTGAAAAGTCTTAAGGCTTGACTGACTTGTATTTCACCAATATCATCCAAAGTTATTTTAGTGATTTAAGTAGCAGCATTATTAAATTACACAGTGCCCCAGCAGGCAAGAGAAACTTTGGGTCCTCTAATCTAATCCACTACACTCTTGTCTACTGGAGCTCGTTCAGAGTCTGCTTGTACATTGGAAAAGGGCAGCACTTTGCCATCTGCTGCAGTGACTCCTTAGTCTGCAACGCTGGTCTGCTGTTCTGTATTCACCAGTGGTAACAGTGCTGAAGGAATGAGACCAGATGAAGACGTAGAAGGGGAATGGGAAGTTTAAGTTGTAGTCCAGAGTCTTTCAGCGTGCTCAGCTGCAGATACAGGATAGTGCAAACCTGAGGAACAGAACTAATTAGAATTCCATTAAAAAGAGGAGAAAAAATTTTGCCGAGACCCAAGTCACATCACGATGGTCGAAGTGAAACCTCGCTGGCTAATGCAGCCTTAATTCATTTTATTTTGCAGAGACAGCAAGCTCACCATGTTGCTTCGAGAGTCCCTGGGGAATATGAACTGCCGCACCACAATGATAGCTCACATTTCAGCCACTGCGGGGAACTACGCTGAGACGCTGTCCACCATCCAGATTGCATCCAGAGTCCTCAGGATGAAGAAAAAGAAAACTAAGGTAAGACACGTATAACTTCCTTCTTGTAATGCTGGAAAAGGGAGCAGGAAGGACGCCAAAAGATCCTTGATGGGGCAGCGAGGCATATAGCAAAATCAGTAACCAATTCCGAAGTGCAAAGGTTGTACGTACCTTGTCCTAGGCGAGTGGCTCAGAGCACATAGCAGAGACAGGGGAATGCAAACGCTTCAGCATCAAATAGAGGAGCGCTTTCAAACATATCTGTCTTAACAGGTTTTTAAACTATAAATAAATATATTTATTGATATAGCTGAGAGTGTAAATCTTCAGTTATGTTCCTAGTGCTAATGAAATAATAAGGAATGAAACCACTGTACAGTAAATTGGCTTTAATGAAGAGTTAGATTCTCTGTGCTTCTCACAGAGAGTAGGAGCAAAATGAATGCAAAGCATTGTGTCCATTGCCTGCACTGATGCCCTGTTTATCCTGACTGCCTCTAAATCCATCTAGGATAGATTTTCCAAGAAGTAAAGTGATGGTGGGCTACATCTAATTCCATGTTTATGGAGTCCTGGTTCCTTCTGTATAGCTTGCAACGTGAGCTGCGTACAACCAGTGAATGTTTGATTTAAACTGACAGTGTATGGATTGAAAAAAACTTTGAAGAGAGACAACTGAAGGGATTAATTCCACACACCATTACAGCAGTGTGTCCCCATGAAGGGATTCATTTCACACACCATCCCTGCAGTGTGTACCCAAGGACTCCCTTAAACATATTATACAACTTCACACATTGGCATTATAACCAAAAGGGACTGTCTTTATTTTTTGTGCCTTATTTCTGAAAAGAGTTTTCTTGTTCCTGTTCACATACAAAAATAGGAATGCCTTTGGCAAATAACCAGTTTATTTGGTTGGTCTAAGTAAGGGCTCCTGATCTATTTATTCAGTACGTTATTTTTTTGAGTGTGGGACATTTAGAGTTGGGGCATTGGGTACTCTGTTGAACACTGCTCTATGCTTGCTGTAATACTGGATATAAGGATCTTCAGAGTCCTGTGCCTTGGTTTAGGTATATCATTTTTTGTGTATGGATATGGTTTATGCAAGGAGCTGTTTGCAATTCTGAAATGTCGTGACCTCTATCTCTCTGACGTTGCAGTACACATCGAGTTCTTCTGGAGGAGAGAGCTCTTGTGAGGAGGGTAGGATGCGCCGGCCAACCCAGCTGAGACCTTTCCATTCTAGAAACACCGTTGACCCAGACTTCCCCATTTTGCATTTATCAAGTGATCCTGATTATTCATCCAGCAGCGAGCAGTCCTGTGACACAGTGATTTATGTTGGCCCCAATGGCACTGCCCTGTCTGATAAGGAACTGACAGATAATGAAGGTCCCCCCGACTTTGTTCCTATAGTTCCTGCTCTGCAGAAGACAAAAAATGAGGGCAGGCTGGAGGAAGGTAGTGAATCAGGGCCGAGCACATCTGAAAGAGATTGCCTGAAGTGCAACACCTTTGCAGAGCTCCAGGAGAGGCTGGATTGTATAGATGGCAGTGAAGAGACCAACAAATTTCCCTTTGAAGAGATGCCTGCTCAATTTAGCTCAGACCAGATGTCTAAGTGCTCTGTCTCAAGCCAACTGGCAGAGCTTAGTCACTTACCAGAGTCAGATAAGGAAGATACGATGCCAGAATGTCAGCATCCTGATAGAGAAGCCAAGGAAAATATAAATGTAACCCCCAGCAAAACTAAGAGAAATCACTCCCCCATTCCTTCCGGAGCTCTTACTAATATTTCTACTCCTCCTTCCCCCAGGAGTGTAACAGGCAGCTCTAGTAAAGAGCTTAGCTCTTGCCAGTTAGCGCACAGCACCAGCTTGCAGAGCAGCAGAGAAGGTCTCAACACCTGTGGCTTTGTGGAAGGGAAACCAAGGCCAATGGGTTCACCCCGGCTTGGCATTGCGAGCCTCTCCAAGACATCTGAGTACAAGCCACCAACTTCTCCTTCCCAGAGGTGCAAAGTCTATACGCAGAAAGGAGTTCTTCCCAGCACCACACCCCCACCAGCTTCCCTGAGTAAGGACACTGAGATGACATCTACTGAATCTTTGTTACAGTCAGAAATACGGACTCCACCCGCAGGAATGAGCCCTCAGATCATGAAGAAGTCAGTGTCTTCCAGCAATGGGGATTTTGAAGAGACCATTCTCAGTGAAGACCAGCAACAAAACCATTCTCCTGAATCCAAGAAGGAGATTCTGAGCACTACTATGGTGACTGTGCAGCAGCCACTGGAACTGAACGGGGAGGACGAGCTGGTGTTCACCCTTGTAGAAGAGCTAACCATTAGTGGAGTCCTTGACAATGGGCGCCCAACCAGTATCATCAGTTTTAACAGTGACTGCTCTGTGCAGGCTTTGGCCTCTGGTTCTAGGCCAGTCAGTATTATCAGCAGCATATCTGAAGATCTTGAATGTTACTCCAGTGCAGCTCCTGTGTCTGAAGTCAGCATCACTCAGTTCCTTCCACTTCCAAAGCTGGGCCTGGATGACAAGTCCCAGGATGATGGCAGCAGACGCTCATCTATCAGTTCATGGTTGAGTGAAATGAGCACAGGGAGTGACGGTGAACAGTCATGCCACAGTTTCATTGCCCAGGCATGCTATGGGCATGGAGAAGCAATGGCAGAACCTCCTGTCTCTGAGTTCGCAAGCACCATACAAAGCGCCAGCATGATTTGTGTAGGTGACAAACAGAAGCCAGTGACGGACAACATGCTTATATTGTCAGAAATGGGGGAGCAAGCTTTCAGCAAAGTGCCACCCATCAAAGGCTGTAAAATATCGGCTCTAGGGAAAACTACTGTCACAATTAAAAACACTGCAAGCCTCAACAGCTGTGAGGGCTACTTCCCAATGAAGACAAACATTACTGTTTATCCATGTATTGCTGTTAATTCCTTCAAAGCACAAGACACTGATGATGCTGTATCGGCAGTAAATGCAGACCCAAAGGTTGTTCACCCCCATGAGGGGAAAGAACCCAGTGCTAAAAAAGATATCAAATTTGAAGATCCTTGGCTGAAGAGACAAGATGATGTAAAAAATGACAGCTCTGGGAGCAGTGATGGGTCGAGGTCTGACATGACCACAGTTTCAGCCAAATCTGAGCAGAGCACAAAGCAGTCCCCAGCGGACAGGTTTAGCAGCAGCAGCAGCAGTGGGGATGCCTCTGTCTCCCCAGGATGTGATAGTCTGAAGAGGATTGTGGATGGGTGTGAGATGGCAGCATCTGGCTCTGCAACGCAGAGTCCCGTTCATTCCAGTGACGGCTTGAAGGGTGGCAGCCTCCCTCGAGGGTTGCCTCCAAAGGCAAGCAAGCCAGAGGAGTCTGATAGTCACTTCCATTCTACTGCCTCCGACAGCAATGGAGTTGTTTCTCCTGCCCACACCCAATTTTCTAAGGCCAGCCTAGACAAAAAAGTGGCCTCTCCCAAACATTGTGTCCTCACTCGCCCCAAAGGGACACCTCCTCTGCCTCCAGTGAGAAAGTCAAGTTTGGATCAGAAGAACAGAGCCAGCCCCCAGCACAGTGCTGCCAGCAGCACCACCAGCAGTCCCTCTGGCCAGCCCGCGTCCTTCCAGGCCAGCTTCCCCGAGGAACTGAATGCCAAACCAAAGGGCCCTGGCATTGACAACAGCAGCAGCAACAGCAGCAGCAAGCTGTTCAGTGCCAAGCTGGAGCAGCTCGCCAGCAGGACCAACTCCCTTGGAAGGTCCACAGGAAGTCACTATGAGTGTCTGTCACTGGAAAGAGCAGAAAGCCTGTCCTCCGTGAACTCCAAAATGAACCCTGGCAAAGACACCACCATGCCTAGGACTGGAAGGAGCATCAGTCGCAGTGTCATGTCCTCACCAACCAACTCAGCTCTCTCCCAGTCTGCAGGAGCCTCGCCAAAAGCTGGACAGTCAAAGATCTCTGCAGTCAGCAAGCTCCTGTTGGCAAGTCCCAAGGCCCGAAGCCTGTCTGCCTCTGCTACCAAAACACTCAGCTTTTCGACCAAGTCTCTGCCTCAGTCTGTTGGGCAGAGTTCCAGTTTGCCTCCAAGTGGGAAGAATATGTCCTGGTCAACACAGTCCCTCAGCAGAAACCGAGGCTCTAGCCTTGCTTCTAAATTGCCTCTTCGGGCTGTCAATGGACGAATTTCAGAGCTGCTCCAAGGCAGTGCCAGCTCCAGAGGCTTGCAGCTCCGAGGAAACGTGGAAACAGATGAGCGTGGTAGCCTTCATGGAGAGGAGAAGCCAGCAGTTCACGTGCTGCCATCTCCTTACAGCAAGATCACTCCTCCCCGGAAACCTCATCGCTGCAGCAGCGGTCATGGGAGCGACAACAGCAGTGTCCTGAGTGGGGAGCTGCCCCCCGCCATGGGGAAGACTGCCCTGTTCTACCACAGCGGAGGCAGCAGCGGCTATGAAAGCATGATGAGGGACAGCGAGGCAACAGGGAGTGCCTCTTCTGCACAAGATTCCATGAGCGAGAACAGCAGCTCGGCCAGCGGCAGGTGCCGGAGTCTCAAAACACCGAAGAAACGATCAACCACAGGTAAGCTTGAAGTGATGTGAAAGGGGAAAACAGACCAAAGCAGCTAACTGCTTCATGGTGGGGAGGCCCTTCCTGAAGATGGGCTAGTAGATCAGTGCCAGCTGTGTTTGCAGCAGAGATGAGAGGCCAGGGTAAGTGTCCCAGCCCCTGGGCTTCTTCCGAGCAACATGCACAAATGTCTGTGTTTGCATTGCATATGCAGTGGAGTCTCTCTCCCACCCATTTCACTTAGGTTTACTTCACATTAACAGAACGCTTATCTCTACAGTTATTTCATGTTGCTAGTTGCAATTAAGTATTTATTTATACAAATATTCTTCTGATTTGATTCCAAAAAGATGCATTTATGAGGTGGTGAAATGTAATTGTTACCCTCAAGCACTTTGGACAAAGACTCCTCTCTTCAGCAGCACAAGGCCAGAGTCCTGCTCAACAGCAGTACCTGCTGGGACCTCCCTTTTGCTCCCTGTGCCCTCTGAATGCCCATAAGCTGCAAGATGCCCTGCCGCTGGATCTGTCACTTCTTTCTTCCCACCCATTTTAGAAGATGGAACAAAGTTATGCCCATGCTGTTGAAAGATCATATCCTGCTGCTGAGTCTGTTGGGTTTTAACTTTTAAGTTACAAGTCTTTCCTCTCCAAGTAATTTTATTATTAATAAAGTATACTAGTAATATTATAAACATGGGCACTGTTGCCTTAAAGTACTTGCAAGTCTGAGAGCAGTTAGTCACCACAGAGAGGATCAGAATCCCCAGTAGCTTTCTTACTACACTTTTTAATCAGATAGCAAGAGCATGCTAGTCCATGCCAGGAGTGCATGGTGTTGCAGCTTGTACTTCTCGCCAGGACAGCAGTGTTTCATAGGTTTGCAGGAAAGGGATGAGGAACATCCATCAGCTGGTCACCTCACTTTTTTTCTGGGTTCCATTTTCCCAACCAGAACTGTAAGTCCTGCCAAAGTTGGTTAACTTCCAAATGTATATAGATACTGGAACTGGTATATACCAGTATTTAAAATATCAGTGGCTGCATATTCTGCAGTAGCTCTGGCTGCAGAAATGTGTAATTCTCATAGAGTTCCTGATTCACAAGCCATTCTCACTTGCTGGTTTACTTACCTCTGGGATTCATTTAGAATGAATGAAATGAGTGAGGCATTACCCTCTCTTTTCTTAAGCTTTTGCTGCAGTAGCAGGAAGAACATGTGCAACACGGATGTGAACACAATGAATACCACAATTAAAACCATATTCGAAAGTACATGTCTGATAATACCTGTTCTGAGGATACATCTGAAAGTCACTCTACACTGTGCAAGCAAAGGCCACGTGATGAAATAATCTCCCTGATGTTAACTTTGCATCCTATGAGAAAGACTCTGTTCTATCCTTTCTGCATATGTGGCAATAACTTAATTTCTCTCTTTCTAATGAGCTGCTCTTCTAACGGCTCCTTTCAAATATAAACTTCTTAATGGTAACTTGCAAGAAAAAGAAAGATGATTTTGTATACTGTGGAAAAAGAATCCAAAGCTGACCACACAGAATGCTGAGTGTGTGCTGTCAACTGACTGTGTGCTGTGGAGAAGCTGCCCATATGATATGGACTTTTTCCATAGGACATTTGCTTTTCTTTGGATTCTGTAGCAAAAGTTGAGTCTTTTGCTTTCCCACTGCTTTGATAGTGAGACATTTAAAGGCATCCAGTAGCCATTCTTGAGAGAAATCCATCTGCAGTAGACTCTGTAAGGGTCACTTTCCCTTTCTTTAGCTTACGCCACAGAGGGTGATTTTCAACAAACCAGGATGGGGAGACATTATTTGAACCAGGAATAGATGCAAAAAAATAACAATTTCTGTGAAAGTAGAGCAGCTGTGCAGGTGAGGTAAAGCATAGAAAACTGCAGTGTAGATTCATCCATATCAAACACAAGAGACTATCCCCCCTCCCTTGGATCTAGCCAGCTTTGATCCTACCTGGCCAAGCAGTGGTGGTGATTTGTCATGCAGTGCAGATATTGCAAAGGCAGTCAAGCAGGAAGCTTTCCTTAGCAAGGAACGTGGACAGTCTCAGCTTTGCCACTTTTTTACTGCTAAGTAAAATCTGATCTTTTTCATTAAGTACAACTTTCTCTCTAACTGACAAATGTATGTGTTCAGTCTAATTTCTATTGTGGCTTAGTTCCTCTCTCCCTTGTCAGCACTGTTGCAGGTGTTTACCATTGCTAGATTTTAACTTCTGTGATGGAGCATTTTCTGTGCATTGCCATCCCTGCAAGATGATGCCTGTTCTGGTAGGCACAGCAAAACATGGCATGTTGACATCCCTCAAAGTACATGCAAAGCTTCTCTCTTAATTGAGTCTGTTACCTGATGTGGAGAGTTTGCAAGCATGTTTTTTTGTTGTTGTTGTTTTGCTTTTGAGAGTGATTCCCTATATCTGCAAGTAATTCCTATATTGAGTGAGTTGTGTTTCTAAGAGGAACCAGTTCTTTTAATGCAAACGGAAAAAAAAGATCTTTATTACTTTCTATATCTGTAGCAGCAAACCACTGCCCAGAAATTCATAATCCTTCACTTTCTTGTAACCCAGTTCCAGTTTGAATTTCATCCCGCAGCAGTAATATCATAATTCTGTTTTGATGTGTTTGATAATAGTATAATTTTTCACATGTCAGCAGATTTATGATGGCATAAAATTGGGATTATTACCTCAATGCAGGAGAACATGAAGGAGGATCTGAGATATAAGGAAGAATAGAGTTGTTCGCAAATATATTTTTATTGCATAATAAACAAAAAAATATGCAAAGGTTTGCAATCTTTTATCCTCTGTAATTTCTCCTGTCTGTAAGTCTGTTCTCATCTGAATGATCTCTCACAAGGAACACTTTTTAATGAAAACGATAACGTACAAAGGTTCTGAGCTCTTGAAAGATGGATATTATTTTAATACATAGTGTCAAGAGCATTGGACCTTTCCTGATTTGCAGTCACAGATCCTGTGCTGTAATGGATATGGCACTATAGATATGCTCATTTCAGGTCAGGTAACCTTGTCCGTTTTATTTATGATTATTATTAGCAGAAATGCTAGCTGTCAGACACGATCATCATGAATCAGCCCAAGGCCCCTTTAAGAGGAGCTATAAAGAGTCTTTAGCAGAATCACCAGCAGCCCTGTCAGATCTCACAATTACTTTTGAAGTTCTGACACATTGGGGAGACATCATTTTTTCCTTGAGATTAAGATCTTGTCTTTCAATGCTTTTAAGTGCATTATTTTTATGTGTAGGTGCTTCTGTGCTGATTGTCATACATGAAGCATCAGACCTACATTGGCAGCTTTTGAAAGATAAAGCTAGATTATATCCTTCAGTGTAGCCCTAGGTTAAATTTTGGGCTCTACATGGGTATGTGTACAATTCACAGACAGCCCAATGCTATGTAAACAAAAGTAAAAAAACAAACAAACAACAACAACAACCACCCGAATTATTAGCCCAATATATTCTGATATCTACTGAAAATCATGTGTATATATCATGAACCACTTAAGCCTTCCCCCTGAAGTAACCTTTTATTTTCATAAACATTTCTGTCTTTGTAGCTTTTAACATTGGTCCTATAATGCAGCATCAGCAGATACTGCCCTAAAGTGACCACTTATAGCAAAACAGAGCTATTTAGCCCTGATAGATCACTGTATATTTCAAAGCTTTGTGCAGCCACCCTTTAATCCACCTTGTGTTGCACGTATTACTATAGACTCCATTTTACAGGTGCAGAAATCAAGGCAGAGGGCTTTACTGACTTACGCAATGCCTCCACTAAGTGACAGCCAGATCCAGGATTAAATTGCAGGCACTCTTGACTCCTAACCTCAACCCTGACTGACTTGGCTGCACATCCTCCCTTACCCTTGCTGAGCACCAGAGAGGAGGGTATTTTTTGCGGCAGTCCCTCCCCCCTCTCCATTCACATGCATCTGTGCAACTGTGTTTGCTCCCATTTATTTGCTCACTCTGTTAGCATTTTTCCTGTAGGAAACAATCCGCATCTCAGCCATTTTCCTTGCCCTGAGTCTCTCTCTCAGGGAGGCAATGCTGTCTTGAGCAGAGCACTGAAGTATTACAGCACAGTCATCACTAGCACCAATTATATATTATTTTTTAATACCTCAGAAATTTCAAGTGCAATGGCCTCATGCTGCTCCATGGAAAGGCAACGACAAGAATGTTTTTATAGCACAAACTCTCTTGTGTCATCAGGAAGTGCATTCAGGCTTAACTCCATTTTAACCAAGCTGTATTTGTACCCTGGGAACATAACAGGGATGAGCAGGAGGCAGGCAGGGCGGCAGGGAAGGACTTGCAAGATCTGTATTGTGTTCCCAATGGTGCTGCTGGTTCGCTCTGTCACCTTGAGCATCCCTGTAATGTCTATTGTCTGTAACCAGCTCACAAAACTAGATCATGGCTTTGTGGAAAAGCTCTCAATGCAAAACACGACTGGGTGCTTTCAGCCATACAGCTTTGCTGCTGCTTCCAGGTGTGTGATCCCATCAGCTCTAAGCTAGCAGCTGTGCAAGAGCCTAGGCTTTAATTAGGTTTACCCGACATAGCCAGACCATTTGCATTCCCATGCAGTGTGCTCAGATGCCTTGCTTGTGCCTTTTGCCCTGTCTTGCAGAGTATTCAGGGCTGCCAGATCTGCCGGAAGGCATCCCCTGGGGATGACAGAAGGGGAGGGGCTCTGAGACAAGGTGTTAGAAGATAAAGGTTTCAGAGGAAAATATAGGGATGTTCCCGAGGTTGTTTGCTTTGTTGTTTCTTTTGGGAGGAGGCTCGGGTGCCTGAGAGAGCCCCAGTACAGGTGGCATGTGGTGAGGCACAGGGGCTGTTGTGTGTCATTGCCTGCAGCACTCTGCTGAGCCCGGAGCCTCCTCTGCCTGAGAGATTCTCTCTTTTAATTTCTGTGCCCTCCAGTTGAGGTTTGTCAGAGCTGAGCCTGAGTCTGAATGATGGCAGCAGGGTAAAGCACGCAGGGCTGTGCTCTGTGTCCAGGCAGGCTGGGGGAGCAGCCGGCATGCAGTGCAACTTGGCAGTGAAGGTCAAAGACATGGGAGGAAGAGGTGGCTTGCGTGAGAAGGAGGCACTGCCAAAAAAAGTCAAGACCTAGAGGAGAGAGTTCTTGTAAAGGGCTTCTG